GACACCATGTATTCCACACCAAATCAGAAGCTATCGTTCCAAGGCTTGTATTTAATTTCATATGATCCCAAAATAATTTTATTTTCCTTTTAGAAAGGAAAGTGGCAGAGCTGCTTGAAGGGAGACAGCGGCTTGGATCCTGATTTCTCAAGTGTACACAGTGGGGTGGGACAACAGCTCTGATCCAGGAAATTGGTTAGTTAACTTAAGGCTCTATGGCTAGGCTTTCCCAGGTCTGTAGACATAGCACAAAAAGTGACACCATGTATTCCAAACCAATCAGAAGCTATCGTTCCAAGGCTTGTATTTAATTTCATATGATCCCAAAATAATTTTATTTTCCTTTTAGAAAGGAAAGTGGCAGAGCTGCTTGAAGGGAGACAGCGGCTTGGATCCTGATTTCTCAAGTGTACACAGTGGGGTGGGACAACAGCTCTGATCCAGGAATAAAGGCTGGATTTCCCTTCCCTAACAAGCTCCATCTCAAGGAGTGAAGCACACACTACTTTTATTTTTCAGGGGTGGCTCCTCTCCCTGCCAGGGTGAGATCTGCACAGGAGGACCTGGGTCCCCCTGAAGTGGTGTTTTAACTGTGTGGGTGCAGGATCTGACTCAGCAGACATCAAATGTGTGACCAAGGAGAGGGGGAATTTCTGGTGATAACCTCCTGCTAGGAGGAGGGAGGTTATGTGTTCTAACACCCTGAAGAAGTCACTCAGGGGCAGAAAAAACTTGGAGAGATTTGCCATACAAGTCATCCCCAGGATTTAGTATAACTGACCAGCAGATATTGCTACATAAGAAATGAAAATGCAAGTGAATTTAGGACTAGTTAAACAAAAATGCTGCAAGCAAAAATATATATGTAAAGTTAATATCAGTTCTGAGGTTTTCCATTGCTGATATAAACTGAAGAGAAATATCCTCTTTGCAAACTGAAATGCCACAACAGCAAAACCCTCAAGAGACTTTTTCATAATCACTAGTACTAAAGTTCATATTCTTGCATACCCAAGCTGAAAAAGAAAGAGCCCTTCTAACAAATTTAAGCCTCTCTCAAAAAATGCACATATTCATATATTCTTGTCACCAATTAAAACAAAAGGCCTAGAAGAGCAATAATTTACTGCTGGGCATTATGAAAAATTTCTCCGTGTTATTTTCAATAGTCAAAATGTTTAGCACATGGATGAAATTGCTTCTTTTTTTAAAAGTAAAAATACTGCATTTTAATGGACTTTTTGCACTCAGTCAGAGATTTGTGGAATTTTGAGTACAAATGTGTGCAAAGCCTTAGAAGCCTTCGACTTTGTGAAGAAACAACTGTTTTTTCCTATGGTTGTTAACTTTTCAGGGGCAAACTGAAATTACTTTATCTGTACTGATTCTGTATTAAACTGATCCCTGTGCACAGAAACAAACACACAGTTTTATGCCATACAAGACTTCAGAATAACAGCAATATAGAAACCACCACGTGAGATGAGACCTAGTGTTTCCAGAACTGTTTCTGAGAGAGCCAGGACCAGGTATTTACAAGGAGGGTTAAGTAAAGCACAATTAATAGATAACCACTGGTTTATTTAATTCCAGAGTGTATGCCTTTTGGTTTATAGCTGGTGAATAGATCTCCTTATGCACCTGACACCTGAGTGGAGAGTAATTAGGTGAATCCTGTGGTTTTGTTCAAATGTAACACTGGCAACCAGATTCCGTTTGTGAAAACTGGGAATCCAATTTTCACTCACAACGGCTGTTCCTTAGAGTTTGTTCTGTATCTTCCAGTAATTTGATGTGCTACAATAGTCCTAACTTGCTAAAATCTCTAAGTATTTCAAAAAGGCATTGTTGGAGTACAGAAAACTTCTGAAAGAATTGCCATGCCATTTACCAGAGCTCTTGTGGAATATACTTCCCAGATATTTTTTGCCTCAAAATAGTTATTTAGAGTTTGTATTATTTCATACGGAACCCAAATTTACTCCTTGACATTAAAATATAAGATGCCATCAGTTGTTGAAAATATTTAAAATTAAAAAATTGAAAACTTTTGTTGGATTTTCTATATTATAGATAATTTCTGGCTCTCAATTTGTGTACTGCATAGAGATTGTGTAATAACAATGCAACCATACTATTAGAAGACTTTCAAAGCCTCTGAGAATGTCAGTATCTTGACAAACTTTAAAATACAGCTATTTGTCACAGTGTTAATCCTTGTAAAGATTGTTGCAGATCAAATATCTATTGAAAATTCTGCTTTTGGACAGTACTGCAGCAGCAACCCAGTATCTCAGTCACCAGGCAGCCTTGCAGACTCACAGTGTCCTACCCCACAAATATCGACAGAATCAGGGGCTCATAAAAAACCTGAATAATCTTTAAAACACTTTGATATGCATTTTAAGCTGGTATAGAGAAATGGAAAGTGCCAAACGAGGTTGCATTTCAGTACCAGTGTTAAAGACCAGCACTGCCCTCCATGCTGGGCTACTGATCCTCACCCGGGTGGATTCAGCCAAGCCTCTTCATCCCACACGCTCATTACATATATATACTACACAATAATACAATTAATTAATGGAAACTTAGGGAGTACATGCAAATATATTTCATGCTCATGGAGTAGAAGTATCTACTGTAGCTCATTTTTTGCACCTCATAAAGCCTACCAACATCACCATTGGGGCAAAGGAGGCCGTAAACAAAGTCAGTAAGGAGAGCAAACAGTTCAGTGAATTATGGAACCATAGCATGGCCTGGGTTGGAAGGGATCTCAAAGATCATCTTGGGCCACTTCTTGAGCTTCTCCAGTTTGTGTGAAACTTTTTTGAGGATCTAATATCTACCTTTGAACTTAGCTTCTTGAAAAATGTCACTGACTGCCAGATACATAGACCAGGCCATTTTTGAGAGTGGTGGCCAAAGAAAGAAAGTATGGAAGATGCAGGAATGAGGTGGGAGAAAGTAATTTATTCACAGAAAATAAAGCTTTGATGATGAATTTTTGTTTTTCACTCTTTTAATTAAAATAATTTTTAAAAATTGTCCTGTCAAAGACATATTTGGAGAAATCTTTCTAAATTACACTGATTTTTGTTTCAGAAAAATTATTAATGATAAACTGTTAAACTGTTTAACTGTTAAAAAAATAAATTAAATCAGCTATTTGAGCCATAATGATTTGTTTTCTTGGATATCTCATATTGACGAATAAACCAATTATTATTCCAAATAAATCAAAGCATTACAATTTCATTACAATTTATATCTGTAAGGCAAACACCATGACAAATTCTGGTGATGGAGGCATCTTGATATAAGAATAAAAAGATCAGATAATATCAACAGCCATCTTTTTGCTAGAGCAGTTAAAGTTAATCCATTAATTTATCATTGATAATTATATTTAACAATGTTTTGAATAAAATCTCATAATAAAATATCATAATAATGAATCTTGGAGAAATTACTAATTTGGATATGCCAAAGATCTAGAAAAAGAGAGCCCAGATGTTGAAGGTGAAAAGAATTTTTTTTTCTTTGATCAGTTGTCCAAACTTTTAATATGAAATTCTTTTGAAAAGTTCTTGACTAATATTTGAAATCACTAGGTAATTTTAAACCAAGATTTTTTTCCTTCTTTGCAAGGGTGATTGCAGACTAATTTGCAAACAAAATCCAGGAATATCATGCTAGGCACCCAAAAGGCAGAACAGACTGAAGCAGATATCCTTTTTTTTAAAGGACATAAAAGGTATTGGGAGCAATTTGTCTAAAAAAATTTCAGGAGAAGATCCAAAGGGATGAAATTTCCCCTTGGTGAACTGAGAATGAGAAAGCTTTTTAAGTGTTGGCAGCATCACAGAAAAACCCAATGTCAAGAAGTTAGAATAATGAGAGGATGATCAAAGAACAGTTTATCTAAATTAAAGGTGAGATTAACAGTACTGATAAAAAGGTAGAGCTATGGACTATTTTAACATAAAATAAGAAAAAATACTTGCAAAGGAACACCATGATCTTATTTATTATTTTGGCTGTATTTGTTTATTCTAGCCAGGGCTAAGATAAACCCATGAAAAAGCACAAAACTTTTAATCTAAGGCAAACCACATCTATATTCTGTGAACATAATATTCCATCCACAATAGCAACTTTAATTCATTTTGTCCACATCATTTTATAAAAAAAAGGATAAAAAATTAACAAAAGTGTGTAGGAAACATTAAAACTGCACTGCATGTAGATATGTTGTCCAACTCCCTCATAATGATAAAAGAAGTGGACAAAAAAGGGGTTTTCTGCAAAGTACCTGCAAAAACAGCCAGCCAAACTGAAATTCCGCAGGTAAAACACAGAATTCAGCCTACAAACCTAGGCATAGCAAGAGTGTCATTTGGTGCTTTACCTTAATTTTTGATACCAATGAAACCAGATCATTACCTCTAATTTCATTAATTTCTGAATTGTATTTTTTTTAATTTCAGAAATGGTGTTTATAAATTTCCAAAGCCATCTCTACTTCCCAACAGTCACTAGAGCATTGCTTTGCCATTCCCATGGTGTTAAAATACCATCCCTGGAGTTCTCACCAGATGGTTTTGTTTGCAATGCTGAAGTACTGGTAGGTAGAGGGAAATTGATAGCAAAAAAAAGCTCCACTTGTAAGACTTTGATAAAAGCAAAAAAGCCCATAAATATTGTAAAATATGAGGAAACAAGGAAAAAAGAAAAGATGGGAGAGAAAAAAATAAAAGTTCAAACATCTGGAAAATGTGGTAAATTTCCTAATTGAAAATGATAAAATTCTTAAAATTTTAACTGTTTTGGAGCTTTTAAAATTAAAAAGTAACAAAAGCTTTTTAAATACATTTGTAATAGATTTTGCAAATGTCATCCAACAATTCAGAACACCAATCTCTCAGAATTAGTTGTCAAACATCTGGAAAATATATTTTCTGAAAAAAAAAAAAAGAAGGTTATGCATATTTGCTTACCTGGTTAGATAAACAAAATTCAGTGGCCAGAGCAGAACACATTGTAAAAGAAACCTGCAAAGAGGAAAAAAAGCTTCATTGTAATTTATATATCTCTCTCATATTTTTGACAAAAAATTTAGTAATGAGTGGTAATTCTTATACAGAAACTTCAAGCAACAATATAATTTTAAATGAAAAGCCTCTTAAAATCTAGCAGGTCCCTGTTTGTTCAGAAGATTCCTGACTGTGTGGCAGATTGCACTTATAAACCAAATTAAACCCAACAGACATACCAAACCATGCTATTCAAAGAAGTGTTTGAGGTTATCTGTTACACAGGTGGCATCAACTTTTGTATATTTTTATTCAAATCCAAATGTGTAACTATCATTATATGATAATGAAATCATTATAAGATACTCAGATGTTCAGATGGTGAAAAAAAAGGCAAGTATTTCTCATTAAAGGTTCTTCAAGGAACTGAAATATACAGTTACTTTACTTCCTATAATATTTTAAACACATATAATGTCAATAGAACATTATTAAGACTATGTGATGAATATTAACATAAAAAAGTCAAGTTTTTAGCCTTCCTGAACAACTTTTATATTTTAAATGAGTACGAATATGCTGCAGTTGTTAATTACTTTGTCACACAGTATTTCCATGGGAACTCCTCTTCAGCCTATACATAAACAGACATTCAAAAAGTTCAAGCACTGATATTTTGTGAAATTTCATTGACTGACCTGTGGTCTGGAAAGACATTATATAAGTAGTATTCAAATCCTCATAGAAAAAAGGGTGATAATTTTGCTACGGTCCATATATTCTAATCATGAATGCTTTGACTGTGTTGCAAACACTGCACAACTCAAGTTCAGCAAATTCCTTTGCAGGAATAACATTGTCCCAGATGAACTCCTCAGTGCCAAGAAATCAGACTGAAAACTGAATACTTAATCTGGTCACATGGACTCATTTTTTGCAGAGGACTCAGAATTAGACCAGACTTTATTTATTCAAGGCCCTGCTCAAAGGTTTCAGTTGTAAACAAACACCGAGCACATTGCAAATAATTTTCTTGATAAGTAAATATCTGAGAAGTGTGTTTGGATTGGATATAATCTTCAGAAATTCTGTTAGGAAGAATGATATCTGCCAACCACTATCACCAGCTCCAGTGCTGGAAGATGCAGATGATCAAGGTCAGGGAATACCTGACAGCACATTCCATCCTTTCCTCATACTGGTGTGACAGAAAGGGGTTTTTGGGAGTGTTTCACCAGACATTTATTGACCCCAAAGAAACACAGTTTCAATCCTGGACTCTGGAAGCTGAGTCTGATAATTGGAAGTGTAAAAACATCAACAAAAGACTCTTGAAAAGGACTATGGTGACACAGAAAGTTCTTTCACCTCTTTACCAGCCCTCTGAGATAGCACTTTCTGCCATATGGAATATCATTCTATGCATGTGTATTGGCAAACATGCCTTAAATTTTTCACTAAAAGGGAAACCATTTACCATGATGCTGGGAATTTTGGAATGGACCAACAAACACAACAAGAAAAGGTACAGATAATGTGCAAACCCTGTCAAATCAGCCCAGTATTCAGCAAAGCCTAGAGTGTATCTTGCTTAAAATAAAGCTTTCTCTTGTTATATTAGCATCTATCTGATGTAGTCAGGCTAGATTATCTAAATTCAGAAACTGTGATTTAGGTCAAACAGCTTTGAACTGAAAGGGTCATGTCCTCACCATTTCCTCAGCCATCTGCCTGTTTGTGATTTTTGAGAACATCTATCTCATTTCAGAAAGACTTCTTATGTGAGTCCTAACCACAGCCCTGTTATTGGGTTTGCACCACTGGACAGTGCAGGTAACTGTAGATAAAACAGTTTCTCTGCTCAGATCTAATAGCAGGGAAACAGTTTGATGGCAAGAGAGTTTAAGCAAGTGCAAAAACAGGGAAAAGATGACTGATGATGGGATAAAGGATAAAATAAACTGATGAGTATGCTTTTGTAAGATTTGCCATACATAATCCTTTATTCTGAGGTCCTACATGGGAATGAGATCTCCTATGGGAAAAAAAAAAAATCAAAAAACCAAAAAACCCCAAATCTAAAACCAACAGAAAACATAACCAGAAACTGTTCTGTTTAAGAAAGCCATGTTTGCATGAGAAGGACTATCACTACGGCACTAAAAGACAGCAGCCTTTGCCAATGACTGTTCATCTCCTTTTTTCTCCTGACAGTGTTAGGTCACCAGTTACATCCCACCAACCTCAATCACTCATGGTTGGACTCCAGTACCAAGCATGGATGCTCCTGATAATTACATTTGTTTAGCATTAGAGAGCAAACTATCTTTCCTTGTTACACTTCTGGGTACTTTTGCTGTTCCTTTCAGTAACAACGTGATGTGTGTGAAAGCTTGCAAGAGTAAATGCACGCATGAGAGATGGGATGCAAGTTGCAGATTTGGCCAGGTCTCAGAACTGTGATGGTCACCCATCCCTGCTGATGGTGGCATTGCTGCCAGCACTTCTGAACCAGCCAAAATCCCTGCACCTATGACTCTGCTCTGGGAAAAAAACACCAGCTCCACTTCCTTCATTAGTTGTGTCACAGCTTCTTTCAGAGCAAAAGCTACTGCTCACTCCTCCTTAGTCAATTTATCTCTGCTTTGCTTAGATAAAATAGTTTCAATTCTTTACCTTCTAGTGAATCACAAACAAACTGTTATCCCCATCTGCTCTGGAGAAACAGGCATCATGAAAAGTCTGATTAAAGACAGAGTTTTTTAACTTGTGATGACGTCGAAGGATGAAATGAAGCAAGTTTCCCTTCTAGTTTCCAGACACAGTCACCAAATTCTTATTTTCAAATTGAGCACATATGATGTAAAAAGCATCAAGTTACAGGAACAATTACCATGCAGTTCTAAAGATACCATTTTTACAATCCTTTTAGAGGAGAACAGTATTTTTATTCTCTTTTTATCCCTCAAATATTTAATAATAATCCTATTTTATGCATATTAATTTTAAGTCGTAATGAGAATTGGAAAGGTATTGATTTCAATGGAAGTTAAGGATTAAATATCTTTATATGGAGCCACAGCCTTCATCCTATTAAATCTCTACATTTATTTTCTGCACACAAATCGTTATAAATCAGGCATTACTCAAGAAAGAACTCAAAAGCAAGAGAAAAGCCCAATTAAGAAGGAATTCAATGCAATTATGGAAGTTCGGAAGTTGCCTGAGGTTGTGTTTTCCTGTAAATCACTGGGGAAGATGAAAAGGGAAGAGTTTGTTTCATCCCCACTTTCAAAGTATTATATTCACTTCAGGTCCACATTGTTAATTTTTAAACCTGAAGTATCAGGACTTCTACAAAGTCATGGATTAGGAACAAAGATGCCATTAACTGGGTTTCTGGGGATCTTCATTTTGCAACACTCATCGGTGCTGGGGTTACTTTTATCAGTAGCTGGAGTTCTTATCTATAGCTCTTGGATATTTGTACATAATTAAACTGGCTTTTCTGACCCTAGTCCTGTAGACATTAAAATCAGCTCAACACAAACAGTCCTGGAATGCACATTATAAGACCTGAACTTCTTCCATCCCATTCCACACCCATTTATGTAAAAAAGGGAAAAGAAATAAGAACACAGAGCCCACAGAAATGCATACTAGATAATTAAAATAAGGACTTTATGAAGTATTAAAGTCAACTTTATTTTACTATTATGGACTCAAGTCTTCCTATAAAAAATGGCTTTGGACATCCTCCACCTAACCATGGAGAAATGAAATTTATCAGTTTACGTGCCTGTTTAAAAAAGTTGTGAGAACAGGAAACATCTCAGTTGAATACCTTTGTGGTAGCATCAAGGCATTTCAGAACAGCACAGATTTCATTGTACAGTGTTTTTAAGGCCTTTTTTTATTATTATTATACTGCAATGGGCTTCATACACCTTACACGAGCAACACACTTGGCTGGTTACAAAGAGAATAACAAATATGTCCAGCAAACTTTGAGAGATGCAAATTCCTGCCTTTCAGCATGTCTCTGTTTTAACCCCTGCGCCAGCTTTCCAGCTTGGAATCGGGTTCCTGTTCTCAAGGTGGATTCAGATATAGCATGATACACCACTCTTGGGCCAAGATGTTTGTGTTCCCACTTTTTATCCGCAGCACCTCCCTAGAAAACAGCCAGTTGAACCTAGCAAGTGTTCCCAAGGTGCCCCCAGTGCTCCTAGGACACTGGTAACTCTACTCAACAAACTTACACACTTCAGGAGGAAAAGGCTAATAATAATGGAGATGGTAATAAGTGTGTGCAAAAATAGCTAAAATCAAATCCTCTAAATTTCATCAAAAATGCTGACATTCATTGAATTTAAATGTTTAACAAATACCCCTTTCTTAATGCATGTTTCCACCTGAATAGGGTCAATCTGAAAAGACTGAGAAGTCATATTTAATTAATAAGAAAACATGAGGAAGTCACCTACCAGTACCTCAGGTACTAGTAAACCTGGACTGCATAATTTTGTAGGCAGAAAAAAGGTGTTCATGGTATTTTTCATAGTTCAAGCAAATACTAAGGTGTGAGAGAAACCAAACTTCCTTCCTTCCTTCCTTCCTTCCTTCCTTCCTTCCTTCCTTCCTTCCTTCCTTCCTTCCTTCCTTCCTTCCTTCCTCCCTCCCTCCCTCCCTCCCCCCCCCCCTCTCCCTCTCCCCCTCCCTCC